CTTGTAAAATTAATGTAAAAGTATATGATTTCGTCATAATTTACAATTTTATTCCTTATTTCATTTTTTACGACTTTCCAGTTAAATATTTTTATATTATTAAAAATTTGAAAAATTATTTAAACTATTAATATTCAAAGTTATATGCTATTTTAATTACATAAATATAAGAGTTATTTTGCTAGAAGTTTGTCAAAATATAATATTTAAACACATAAATACGTCTGTGAATAATGATTTTCGATATTTTCTTATTTTTTGAGGAACTACAGTTATTTGATTCCATCTATGACCGATATTTGTCTATTTTTGTGTATAATGTTTGGCATTTTTTTTCAATTATTTGGAAAACTATTAAGATATTCAAACCATAACTTTTCAACTGCAGCATCTTGACAAAATTTACTATCAACATTTAACCATACCGTCTATGATCGAAACAATCCTTCTGGTCAAAATCATATGAAGAGATTAAAAACTTACGAACTCTCAATATAAACCGACTTCTAGTTAAAAATGTGTTAAAGTATTTTAATTTGTTAATGTAATGCTCACAACAGCTATACCTCATTCAACTTACAAGTACACCAGTGCCGTTACTAATCGCTTTACGATCATCATTATCACTAGTTTTCGTGTAAATTATAATTTATTTTATTTTACGTCGTATTCAGTTGTTTCTTGAAAAAAACAATATCGTAAAAATACATAAAATTATGAGTGACAGCGTCACCGACAACCGATAGTGGGAATACCATGCGCAGACGCGACCAGTTTTCGTCCGTCGCCTGGTTTACTCTTAATTTGAATAGAGTCTAGTTTAAATTAATTTAATACAATATAAATAAATGAATATAATTTTTTCCTTCGCATGTAACAAATTATTATTGATCGTTAATTATTCAAAAATAATAACTTTAAACTTAAAACAAAAAAATAAACTAACTGATTTTTTTACATAATACAATATAAATAAATTCATATTTAAATTATTCCAGTTACATTATAATTCGTATTTAAACTTTTTTACAATAATAAATTTATTTATTTTATTGACAATATTTTCACATCTGAAGGTAGGTGAAATTGAATAGCGCAATAAGTATATTGATCGTAAAATAAATGAAGCGAAATTGGTACATTGACCATAAACAGTAAATTATTTTTAGGCGCAATTGGTCCAAGCGCGTTGTAAACTTTACTAACAACTATCGAGTAATTTTATCGAATATGGATCCAGAGACATATAATATTCATAAACTGAAGAAGTATGTAAAAATATAAATTTGTTTTCAACATTAATTTTGTCGTTTTTTACATCTACGAAATATATAATCTAATATTCGGTAGAGTTATGTTTAATTAATTACCAAAGTTGCTTGTGAGGGAAGATTTCAACATAATAATAGTATAATTCTGACTTGTAAACCTGATATTTTATAGGTTAATTGGCCAACCATTATGATAAACAGAGAAAAATTATTTTCTCCGGAAATACTAGAGTGTTTGTGTGAATGTTTTTATGCTTTACTAAAATTAAGTACTACCTAAGATTAGACGAACGTGGTTATTAATTCAATATTTATATCAGTAAAAAATCGGTACTCAATTTAAAAAAGTTTAATGTAATTGCATAAAATAATTACTATTGAAAAAGCAATATATATATATATGTTTAAAATGAAATATTTATCATATAATCGTTACTTCCATAATTTTTCTGAAACATAATACTTTATTATAAATCAATTATTTTATTAAAATACGTTTATTTCTATTTAGTTAATTTTAAAGTATTTTTCAGGAGTATTTAATTACATATTTTACCTTCTAGTTCATATATTTTGTCATCTTGATTTTTAAACGTAAACTTATATGATTTTATTTATCAGCTGATGCTCGAATGGTCCGTAAAATAACTTTTTGCAAAAATCTTATACAGCAATGATTTTAAATAATACAAAAATTAACCATTCACTTCGTGTTATGTTAATTATAATGAAATATTAATTTTTTCACAACAGAGATTTATAAATTGACTATTTATTGGTGTTTGATAACTTGATATTTGTAATAAAATAATAATACATTGTCGATAATTTGAAATAGTCATGTCTACCCACTGGTTATCTTAAATGTAATTAACTTATCTTACGAGTTTTAATATTTTTTTTCATTAATAATAGGTTTAGTTATTAATGTAATTACTTATTTTATTAATAATCAACTTTGTTGTATTATACTCATGTAAAAATCGTGCGTATAATTTATTCGAATGTTAATGTAATTGGAAATAGCAAAAGTCTTATTATTTTGTGGTGTTTAATAATAATGTTTTATATGAACATCTAGCCAGTGTTAAGTATTTTTACGACTAAAAATTCATCTATGAGCAAAAAAATGATATACATTTTAGCTAGATAAATACTAGGCAAATTATTATTAAATATATATTTATTTAATTTTTAAAAAACCAACATTTTTCTATGTTTATATAAGAAATTTTAAGCGCTTAAGTATAAACATATATTAACACATTGATGGACATTACTGCTATAGCAGTAATATGAAATTGTTATGTGGTGTGGCGTTACTGCTATAGCAGTGATATTTTCAATTGTATCAAATGATAGAGGACATTAAACTGCCATATTGGGTTGCTTTAGATATTGGGACACTGAAATATTTCAAGGGAAATTTTACAAATTAATAATACATGTTCTATTTTAAGATTTTTGGTATATTTGTTCATTTGTGCGTTATTATAGGTGGTATTGGACATTTAAAAAATTTATAAGTGTCCGTCAATACAAAATAAATAATATAAATAAATAAATAAATAAATTATAGTAATAATAAACCATATTTGAGAATTTTATTTCAAAACACTTATAAGTACCAATATATGTTTTAGTATAATATAACGATACATCGTTTTGGGTAACCAAAAAATGTAAATATTTCAAAGTAGTAATACTTTTATACATATCCCATGAGATTGCTAAAAACTAGCGTTACCGATACACGAGATAAAATAAAATAGAATTATATACACGTGTTCTTTTTATACAGTTATAGGTTTTAACAATTATTATAAAAAGTTACAAAACCAGTTTTATTTATTCGTACCTATGATGGATTACATTATAAACTGAGATATTTACCCTTGGGTTGTTTATAATAATTATTAGTCATAATGATTGCAAATATAATGTATTGTTCCACCTAAAATCCACGTTTTGTTATATTTTTTATATGGTAATTGATACTATGCACGTGATGTCATTACTTACTGTTATAGTAATATAAATGTATAATACGTACCTAGCTATCTGATGCTGGATTATGTTGTTCATAAAAGTTGATTTACAGAGTACAACAAAATTATAGAGCAAAATGTGTGATTATCTACGACTGAACTTTGTATAGTGAGTATATTTACTGAGTCATCGTTCAAAATAATTATAATACGGGGTAGTATTGTTGTAACTGATACAACAGTGATCAGAATTTTATCATCAAATAAGCTTTTATTATACATTATCATTATTGCTCATCGTGTAATAATATTGTACCCATTTGACACTGGTACAGTGCCCAGTGAATAAATATATTGTAAACTTGATTGCAAATAATTTATGGAATGCTGAAACTTCTTTGAACTACCTCGTGATACTATTACACTAATTTAGAGCAAAAATTATTATATCATTCAAAATTCTCCAATCATATTGTGATCGAAAATCTAAAAATTGTTGTGTAAATGGAAAATTAAATCAACGCCCATAAAAATTCTTCTATGTCACGTTTTCCTTAAGAAATTAAATTTTTCCTGTTATTTACTTAGAATAAATGGCAAGTCCAGATAAAACTTAGATTAAATATCCAAGTTTATGAAATTGTGTAGTTCAACTATAAATATTGAAAAATTACATTTCATCATCTTCATTAACAAAGAAAATATTGTGACTATTAATTCATCGTTGGACACTCTACATTATAGTTATAGCCTATAGATATTAATTATGTAATTATAAAAAATAATTGGATTTCAATACATCGTTGACTAATTAAAATTGTTAATTTTTAACCGAACAGGAAAATGCGATTTGTTCATTCTTTTAATAAGTAACCCTGAAATGTAAATCCGGATTTACACACTACGATAAATCGTAACAATTTGATTGAATTTTTACTGTTCAAATTAATTTACAATGTATCAATAATATTATGAATGAATTATATTATGACAATATTAAAATTGTCATTGAAAATTAATTAATCAGAAGGTTTAATCATATTTTAAATGAAGCAGTTCATTTGGTATTTAATTTTATTATTATCTTACTGTATAAACAAAATAATTATAATAATTTTACTCAATATTTAATAAAAATAGTTGATCTGAATGGAACGGTCTACAGAATAGGTGTTATAACAGTTTATTTCAAAATATGATGGAATTAAATTTCAAATAAAATATGTGTTTTCAATGCATACATTTTGAAAATGATATGTTAAGGTCAACATTTTAAGTTATGTCCGAAAATGAATTATTTTAATATTATTTATGGTTAACAGAAATTAACCTTAGAAGTTATTTCGACGGTGTGTTTTTACTATCATAATTTTATTTGAAGTATTTCTAAATTAGTGGGAGGCATGTTAACTTTTATAAAAACTTTACATTATATTATACTTAGATATCTTCTTAAAAAAAAATGTATTATATGGTTTTGTCAATTTTTTTTACGAAATATTCAACTATATTATTAATTTGGACATAAAAATCATAAAATAATAAGAATTTTGATATTTTTTTCTTATCATTCTCAATCATATGAAGTCTCCAGATACATAAAATATACATAATGAATATATTTTAAAATTCACTTTAATATTAATGACAATTACATGCGATTTAATGATAAAAATAATTATAACAGGTTTTGGTAATATTATCACTCTTCGAAAATAATTACAAAACAAAAAAAATCGTATGTATGAATCGAATTTAGTAATATACCATTGTCAATAATTTTTTGGTAAAATATACTATGCACTGTAATTAATTAAGTATAGTAGCATAATCTTCACTTAATTATAACGAGTATAATTTATACACCTAACACGGGATTAATTTTTTTTTTTTATGTAATCATTTAATATCCACAAAGTATAAAAAATTTTATATTTTTTGAAATCAACCTACAAATTAAGATTAGATTTATTTGATGATCTTTATGAAGAATATTGAATTTTATAGCTCAGTATTGTGTAATGATTTTAATATAATCATATGTCTGTAGATCATCGATCTTATTGATTTGCAAATACCGGACACTATATATAGTATAGTATACGTTGTATACCGTATTATCAGTGGTGTACCGGGTCATGAGCAACGGGTCCATGAATTTAGGGAGCCCGTCAAGGAATGTTGAGAACCCAAAAAATCGATCGCTATCGTTACAGCCGTAAATCATTTGCGCATCGTCTGTTTACCTGTGCCAAAATTTCGTACATCGTTTACGCATCACCGTACGATTATCATTTGCGCATTACCTGTTTGACTGCACCAAATTATCGTACATCAAATGCGCATCAATATTTTTAAACAATAGAAAGGTATATAAAAAAAAATAATAATAACTATTGTAATTAAATGTGTTCATTTCAATTAGCAAATTATAGTCATAGTTATAATGTTTAAGGTTAAATATTATAAGTCAGTACTTTGTGTATTGTAATGTCCTATTGTCTTTACAAAATGTAACCGGTTTATTTTACCGGTAGTATGATTACGCCAATGTTTTTGAATGTATTCAAGCTTTTGACGTTCAGGAGCCCGTTGTAAATGATGGATACCACTTGAAATTTCTTTTATCTTGACATATGTTTCTGACTATATTTCTTTCAACGTTTCTATTACCTAAGTATATGAAATTAAATAAATTAAATTTGCTCCGTCAATTAGAGATGTATATGTTCTCCGCGTATTTCTAACACCTTACTTCGGTGTTCATCAATTTTTGTTGAAGCATAGCAATCTTTTTTCGGACACAAATATAATTTCACAACTTTTCAGCGTTTTTCTTTCTGTATAAAAAATATTTTTGGAAAATAGTTGCAGCTTTTCGACGATTTGAATCAACAAATTTTAATTGACTCATACTTAAATATATTCAAAACTCGAAATTACAGTATAATAATAGTATGCACTGGTTATCGAACCGTTCACGACTAATATGTCTCATAAAGTCGTATACGTTTCGACAGCGTCTCACGCGATTTACTAATCTACTATCTAGGTACTTATGCGATAAAAATCAATTGGTCACCCGTACAGTTTAGTTGTTAATCTCATCATGTTATTGCTAACTGATTACCTACACAATATTACTACGATACAAATATATTTTAAAACAGAAATACCTGTACAATATTTGAAAATTGACTAGTAAATTTATAAAGTTAAATAAAGTAAGCTTAAAGTTAGAAAACAACCTAAACCATTGGATATATACACCTTTTTTCAGTTCTATTGTCAAATAATATTGATGCGCAAATGATGGATAACCCAAAAATCGAACAATGCGCAATTTTCTTACGAAAAAGGACAAAATTAACAATAGTGAAGCGCAAACGAAGACCGGCGATCATTGCAAAACTTACAAATACAATTGAAATTTCACGGTCCCTTATCATTTTTATTGGGTTCATTTCGGTGTGGAATACTAATATTGAATTTTTATTTCGTGATAATTGTTAATTTAAGTGATTAGTGCAAAAACCAGAATAGTCCACATTTGAAAACTTGCGTATAAATTGAATTGTTGCACCAAATATATAAAAATATATTAAATATATCAGAAAATAACAACTACTTATCTCAATATGTTTACAAACTTTTTTCAATAGGTAAAAAAAAAAAAATTGGGATTTTTTATATAGCGCTTTTAGAATCATTTACTATACAGCACGTGTTTAATAATAATTAAAAATAAGGAATATAGGTCTAAAAATATTTAAGCACGCCGAAATTGCTACGCCATGATGTCCGGTTCCCTCGGCGAATACATTGTTTTGGTCGTACTACGCAAACCTATGTCCATTATTTTAATTTCTGGTAAGTTTAATACAACTTAACTATGTTATTTACCTTGTTGATTTAATACGGTCCTAATGTAATAAAGTACAGTAATAAAATAAGTATATCAATATTTACATTACGAATCTATACTAAAACCAATCATATGAGAAAATACTTATGATAAAGAGTAAAAAAATAGCAGGTTCTAAATCAAAGGGACAAAAGAATATTATAATAGCTGATAAATTATTTAGTTAATACATCCTCTGATCCATCGCGGTTATATTCATTAAATCAAGGTGTAATTTTACTTACCTTGTTTATATTATTTTAATATTCGCAGTATAATTTTTATAACGACCGATTGTTATGCAAAATGTCGTGGCTACTATTTATTATATTAATACATTTTTAGTTACATCGCTGGCAACGAACAAACAAATTCTGTTGTAAAATATTTTATACTAAAATTAATCACAGTCATATTGAGTGAACATCAACTTTCTCGTGTTTTAATAAAAATTTTACAATTTTAAATTTTCGTTCCAGATTTTTGTTTAAACAACGCTGTTGATCAGTGGTATCAAGACTTTTGCTCAAGATTGTAATAGAAAAAATCATTTTCATTGTATTTTCATTATCATTTGTCATAAATACAAATTTATTATTATTGACTATGAATATTGATTTTATTAATGTATAAAAATAAACGGTCTAATAATATTTAGAAAGTTGGATTAAAGGTATAATAGGTTCTAATGTAAAAATATAAATATAAAATATATATATTCATATATAATATATGAAGAAATGTATATAAAAAAATTGTATCAACGGGCCTAGATGATCGTAGTACCACCATTGTGTATATTCACTGAAAGCTGTATCATCTCAAATATTCTTATATTATTATTAAAATCCTTAATTTTACAGTTACTTAGGAACAAATATTTTTATATAACCAACATTACAGGTGTTTTAAGCAAAAATGATTTTTTCTTTTAGCTAAAAAAAGAAAAAGATTCCTAATCTAACATAAACCAATGAAACACAATCTCGTAATGGAATATTGTTAATACGTTACATTGTAATAAATTACATTTTTATTTTTGTTTGTAATATCACAAGTCATTGTTGTTCTGAAAAAAATTTAAAATAAATATTATTTTATTTAATACATAAATTGAATTCTTAATACTATTTTGTTTTAAAATTAATCATAAATCATAAACATTAAATGTAGTACTCGAACAAATAAAATTGTTATGCTAGTCCCACACAAACTAATTTATTACTATTCATTATTGTTTTTTCCTTTAAAATTGTAAACGATGTGCGTTGAATCATTTAACGCTAATTTTATAACAAGAATACATACGTTTTAGTTAAATTTCTATAAACCAGTGGAATGTTAAAGAAAAGAAAAACTTTTGATGAATATTTAATCAATTTTGCAAGTTTTAAAATTTTTCTGATTTGATCAACAGTATTAAAAACAACATTAGCGAGAAAATATATTTTCAGATTTATTTTTGTGGTTTTCCTTCTAGACCAAGGTGGTTAAATAGTGGTGTCTTCATTTCGCTAATTGGTCTTTTATATTAAAAACAAACAATTTACCATTACACTCAAAAAACCCATTCAGAGTGTAGGTTAATAAATTTAATAAACTTAAAACTATACTTAAGTACAGCATTACAGCTTTGATCTACAATTATGCATGTAACAGCTAGAATGAAGAATAATTATAAGTTTTATAACAATGTCAAGTTATTCAAATACTAAAGAATTTTACAACGTTGTTAAAAAACACTTCATACCCAGAAATCAATGAATTGAACCAATGATAAAATTTAACATTTAAAGAAGATTTTATAGTTAAGATGATATTTAAAATATAAGATTTTTTTTTCGCATCTTACGATAAAATAATAACACTCGTAAAATGTAGATCTTATTCAATAACGTATTACAACGTCCGCCGAAAATATATGGCTGTTTTTGTTAATTATTTTTTCAGCCACCTTAAGATAATTACAATTTGTTGAATTACTCAGTGTAATTATTGATGTAGCGTTGTCCTTGCTTTTTAGTAGTACATTTGGTAGATAATTGTGTAACATATTTAAAGTATCTAATGACTGATTAGTGAGTGTAGATTAGTAATGATCCGTGTTGGGAATAGATAATGAAAAATTTATCTAAATAAAGATGAAAGATAATATGTCCAAATTCATCTAGATAAAGATAATAGATAAAAAAATTAAAATATTTAGATAAAGGAAAATTTCATTTTATCTAGATAAAAAAAAAGATATTTTAAAATTTTAAAATTTTTTTGTCAATATTTCATATTTATAATATCTATGAAGACTTAATTATAATCGTTATTATCAATAGATACCTAGGTGTGTAATGTTTATTGTTGTAATATTGTGTACCATTAAGCAATATTTATGTATAATGTAACTAAAATGTCACAAAAAATCACAAAAAAAAAAAACAATGAAAATTGCTCAGGATGAGTACAGAATACATAAGAAATTATTTTAAGTTAACAAAATTGTTTTCCATAAATTGTAATTTGATTATTTTCTTTATTCTGTAAGTAGTTACAACTTAACGGGTTCCAAGAATGAAGTATTGAATATTCAGCTTATGAGTTACATGTGTATACTAAAATCAACCTACTATATTTGGAACTTCCATGGAAAAATAAAAAATTAAGTTTAAAAAATACCAAAAATATTTTCCTGACATGAAAATACAAACAAAATATCATACCAAGAAATAATAATAACATATTAATAGTACACGAATTATGATTATGAATACAAAATCTATATATATAAAAGAAAGTCGGGTTAGTTACAGAATTTATAATTCAAGAACGACTGGACCGATTTTTATGATCTCTGATTTCTTGGAGTCGTCTTCATACATGAATAAAAATAACTCTAATCTTGGCAAGAATTCAGACAATTATCTAGATAAGTAAAAATGTTATCTTAGATAAGTAATTAGATAACTTAGCATTAGTTATCTAGATAAGATAAAAGATGACAACAAATCTATCTAGATAATTTATTTAGATAAGTCCCAACACTGGTAATGATATATTTATTTGTAAAAAAAAAAAACTATAAATTACACTTCTTTATCATATATAAATACGCCTAGCTCTTATGATTATTACTCAATCATTTAATAGAATGCTAGATCGACCATATTTTGTATTTTTACATCTTAGCTATACAGTTTAAAATTTAAACTGATGCGTTATTTTACCAAACAACTTTGTGAGTTAATTAGCTTCAATTTTTATTTTTCACAAGCTAATTTAAGAATATA